GGGGGTGCTACTGGCATCTAGAGGGTAGAGAGAGGGCAAGGGTGCTACCAAACATGCCCCAGTGCTCGGAGCCGGCCCCGCAAAGGCTGATCCAGTTCAAAGTACCCCTGGGGTTGAAGCTTTGGAAAGGAAGCAGCAGTTGAACTGGGAGGAACCTTCTCTTCCTAACAGAGTAGCCTGTCCTCAAGCCCTCAGCCTTACCTCCTGTCCCTCTGAACACCCACTCAGAGCTCCATTCCTGAACAGACCCAGCCACACTGCCAACATGCGTCAGCTAATTGGGTTAAGTGGCCATTAGCAGCAAAAGCAGGGCGACCGCGCTCAGAAGGGTTTTTAATTTTACTCTTTAAATGACGCTAATTCCCCAGAGAACACTGGTGGTGGGGGTGCTGCCCACTGGAACCCCTAGATCCGAGGCTAGGGCCGCACTTCCCCCTACCCACCCATGGGAGTCTTGTGGGGGCCTTTGGGAGGGACACTCATCATCTATGAAAGAAAGTGAGGGATCAGGGATTTGTCCAAGGTCACTAGGTCATCACAGATCAAGGTCCTGTCAGAGGAAGCCAACGCCTCATCCTTTTCCCCGGGCCTGTTCTACTGTAGACAGCTAATGCTACATGGTCGTAATGGTGGCAAATATGAAGGCGCTGTCAGTTTGTATGGCCTGAGTTTCTAGATTCTGGAGTCTCAGCCAGGCCTTGCCACTGCCCCCAGCTTGTCTGAGTTGGAAGGCGAAAGGACTTCCTGGAGCAGGCTGCCAGTATCCACAATGACGCTCTCAGTAGTCTGCTTTGGCCTCGGTGACATGTTCCGAGTGCCGTGGCCCTGGCATTCCCATTCTCTGGCAGTTAGTTCACTAAGCCATCATGCCCTTAACCTTGCTGATGAGCTTATCTCTTACTTTATCCACGACCTCTTCTCTAAGCCACATGGCAAAGGTGCCAGGGATGGGCAGCAAGCAACATAGCCTTCAAGGACACTGTCCTTTATGAATGACAGCTCTTGGGGTTGTGAAACTGGAGGTACTGGGCAGGGAGGGTGCTCAGGTCCTTAGTTTAGTCTGTGCTGCTGAAATATGGCCCCTTGATGTTGACAGGTGGTTTTGAACTCTTGAACTCGAGCAATCCTCTTCCCTTGGCCTCCCGAGTAACTGGCATACAGGCACAGAGAAGGAAGTTAGGGCCTGAGATGGAATGGACTTGGTATATGAAGGTAGGAACATGCCTGTCCTTCCCTGCACCTTCTGCAGCAGCACAGGGATTATCACTGGTGGGCCACGAGTGAACACAGGTGACAACACTGAGTGGGGAACATAAATGGATAAATGACCTTTCTGAGAAGGAGGTGGTGTGCAGAGGCCTCAGTTGAGAGGACAGGGACATAACAATTGTGCTTCAAATCTGCCTGAGTCCTCATGATGAACCACAGGGTCCCTTCTGGGGCTCAAGGCCCTAAAAAGCACTAGCTGAAAGGCCTTGCCTCACTGAGTGGTTGAAGTTTCTGGTTCCCTCTACATGCCCAAACCAGAGAAACTATCATGGTTTCTGAACCTGGGAACACTGGTTGCTTGTGTTTGTAAGGCCCTGAGCTGGCCTCTTCTGACTCTTGACTTCGGTCAAGAAACATCTGATGGATGCTGATTGGACAATATAGTGACCTTGTGTCTTGCAGTTCTTGGCTCCCTCTTCACAAGCCCCAAATTAAGATTCAAGACCAGATCAAGGGTTTTAAATTGGATTACTAAACGGGGTCCAGGGAGGGAGGAGCAATGGAATGGGGGTGGGATTCAAGCCCCCCAGGCCCTTCCCTCATTTGCAAGCAGGCTGCACATGAATGTGGGAAAGCAGAAAAGGAGCGGAACTTGATTAAAAGCAAACTTAAAACAATGAAGTTCAAAGCTTACTTTGAACAATTAGAACTAAGGGCTAGGCAGTCCTGTCTTGGGGGGATGTAGGGTGAGTCTGGAATCAGACTGCAACAGAAGGAGGTGCTGGGATGGCAAGGGCTGTAGCCTTAGTGCATGCCTCGGGACTGTGGGGGCCACGGGCTGGAATCCGGGTCAGGAAGACCTGTGTTCAAGTTCTGGCTCTCTTGTGTCCTGTCCTAACACCTCCAAGCCTTCTGTGTCCCCTTCTGTAAGAGGAAAGGGCAAAGACTTCCTTTTGGGGTTGTTACGAGAATGACTCGTGATCCACTGACCACACGGTGAGGGCCTTTTCCCATCATTCTTCCACTGAAAGTCATTCTGTATTTGGCTCTGACTGTGTACCAGGAAATAGGCTGGGGCTGTCAACTCAGTGGGAAGGAGGCAGATATCTGTCCTGTCTCTCAGGCAGGGATGAGTATGTGGGGTACAGGAGGAGAGTTAAACAGGACTCCAAGCCTGTGGCTATGCCCCAACCCCCTCTGCTATTAGGGTTGGTTGTTCTTGTAGTATTGGGTTAAGGGGGGCAGGGAATCAAGACTGTGGTTTCTGAGGAGGATGGCAGGGCCTGGGTTCTGGGAAGCTGGCAGGGTCATCCTTAAGTACAGTCCAGCCTCTACCAAGGAAAACCTGTTCTGAAGTCTGTGCGCGACTCCCCCTAAGACCTGAACATAACCTTTCGCACACATACCTGATGTTAACTGTTGTGGGAGCTGTGGGCTTCTTCCCACAGCCAGGCTTCCAGCCACCTGGCTAGCTTATGCCCCAAAATAATGACACACAAATTGTATCCATTTAAACACTGCCTGACCCATTAGTTTCAGCCTCTTAACCCATTTCTAATAATCTGTGTAGCACCCCAAGGTGCGCTTACCGGGAAGATTCTAGCCTATGTCCATCCTGGGTCGGAGCTTCATTGCGTCTGCCCTGGAGAGCAGCAGAGCAGCGGCCTTACATCTGAGCTCACTTCCCTTCTTCTTCCCAGCATTCTGTTCTGTTTACTCCACCCATCTATGTTCTAACCTATCAGGCCAAGCAGTTTCTTTATTACTTAATCAATGAAATCAACAGATTGGTATATGACACTCCCACATCATTTCCCCTTTTTCTGTTTAAACAAAAAAAAGAAGGCTTTAACTTTAACATAGCAAAATTACATATAACAAAACAGTTATCAAGCAAGAATTAGTTACAATATTTATATCTATTTTATCTTTTACCATAACAAAGGAAAACTATAACTATAACTAACCATTCTTCAACTCCATCAAAGACTCCAGAAGGATATAATATTACCTAAGTAAACAAGAAATAAGCAACTTTCAAAACTCTAGAAATGACAGAGACATTTTGCTGCCTGGACAGTCACCCAAAGTTCTTTTGTACCGTTGGGGCATCCATCTTCGGCCTTCAGGCCCATAGTATCCAGCAGACATTTCTATGAAGCAGGAAATTTCAAAGGCAGTTCAGTCACTATCTGCTGTGTCCTGCAGAATGTCTCGCAGACTCTTTCATGAATAAGGAACCCTGAAAAATCATCTAATTTGGGCTGGCCAGCCAGGTATAGGTAGTATGTGTTTGTAATCCCAGCTCAGGAGGCATGGGTAAGAAGACTGGGAGCGTGAGACTAGTCTGGGCCCTAATGGTCTGGGATGAGAGAGGGGCAAGGAGACAGAGAACAAGACCAAAAGGGACACATTTGGGAGAGGAAGTGGACAGGTGTGGTGTGCTAGCTGGGTAAGTGAGCACATGGTATAATACTAGTAGGGAGAGGCATTTGACCCCTACAGCTGGTACCTGGCTTTGCCCCTTCGGTGGCAGCCCATCTTCCAATTGACTTTCCTTATCTGTGACCAGGAGATCCCCCAAATCAGGCGAGACTAGGCTCTCTAGGTACAGCTCTGGGTTTGTTGGGTTCCTAATTGTTGGGAGGTCCTTAGAACCCACTTTTCCTCCAATCAGAAGGCCATCCCCACTCTCTTGCATGCACCTAGGTCACACAAGGCAGGGTCCTGTGAGGGACAGTGGGGCCAAGCTACTGGAAAAAGGGGACTCATTCTTTATTGGGGTCTAGATATGGAGGATCTAGGCTAGCTGTCTTGACTTGACCCTGGCCATAGCTGTGGATGGATGTGCTAATTTTTAAAAAATTGCTTTATTGAGATTTAATTGACATAGCAAATTCAGTCACATTAAACATGCATTTCAGTGGTTCTTAGTATAATTAGAGTTGTGCAACTACCACCATAATCTAAATTTAGAATATTTTCATCACTACCAAAAGGAAACCTTGAATTCAACTGGCCCTATCTTCTCTCCACTAGCCCTTGGCAACCAGTAAGCTAGCTTTCCATGTCTGTCGACTTTTCATAGAAATAGGATCACACACGTGGCCCTTGTCACCAGCTTCTTTCCCTTGGCACGATGAGTTTCAGCTCATCCATGTTGTAGGACATACCAAGATTTCTTCCTTTCTTATAAAAACAGATGTTGCTATCTTCTACATAGGCTGGGGGCAACTACAATGGTGCCGCTGATCTAGGGTCAGAATGGATGCTTCCTGCCCATTTAGGAATGACTCCACAGCTCCTGAGGGCCCCTCCCACCTGCTGTCCTTGGAGCGAGTAGGAGTCTGGCTGCTTTGTCAGGCTAGCCTGGCAGGTCTTACTGTTGGGGTATAGTAGAGTATAAAGGGGGGGCTGAGACCCGGAGCAGGCAGAGAAATATTTAGATCTGGGCAGAGCAGGGACTCCAGCCTTCCTCACCTGTGGCTGCCTTCATGCCATCCCCTCCCCACCAGCTCCTGCAGCCCACAGACAGACCAGGGGGCTGAGAGGAATGAGAAAGCTCCAAGGCCCTGCAGGAGGGAGACGCAGGACTGCCTAGGTCTGCCAGGTCACCACACATGCAGCCAAACCCAATGACAACTGCCACAACTGCCCAGTCCTGTACCTGTTTCTCCTGCCGAAATTCCAGGAGCCAAGCGCCCTGTGACAATGAGGGTCGGAACATTGCCTTCAGTCAAGGCCACCCCACCTTCCCTTAATGTTCTCATGCTCCCGACACACTGGCCTACCTTCAGGGCCTGCACCTTCCTGTCTAGCAGGCTCTCGATGTCCCCTGCCACCTTCTCCACCAATTTCTGGGGTTCATTCTCTTGTACTTCGAACAGGTTCCGATTGTCCTTGTAGATCTAGAAGGAAGCAGAGGTTAAAGGTGAGGCCAGAGCGGTCCATAACTCCCATGCCATGGCCTCACATACTGTCACTGCAAACACAGCTCAGTTCATCCTTGTTCCTATAGGACCTGGCTTTGGCCCAAACAAGCAGAGTCCAGGACCTTCATGATCTCAGGGACGGGGAACACCGGGCTGGAGTTCTATAGTTTGTATCTGGGGTGAAGGTCCAGTGTGGGCTAGTTGGTGGCCAGTGTTGGTGGTTCATGGGTCCAGGTCTGTCTTGTCTGGGCCTCAGGGATCCCTTTTCAGGGGCTATGAGTTGTCTCGACTGTTAGTTCAAAGTGCCTATGAGCAGCAGAGGGGGAGGGGGAGGCTGGATGGGAAGCAGAAGGCAGGTTATGTGGTGAGAGAGATGGAGCTAAAAAGCATACATCATAAACCACATCCCGACATGAAGATGTTCGCACACCCACACACGTACATATATGTGCATAGCTACGAACGAATCTCCTATGTGTGCAGATGCATAGCTACTCCTCCATGTAGCCTCAGGCAATGTGCTCCTTTTACGAATGCTGCCCTAGGCCATTTGCAGAAGCTATGGAGAGCTCTGCTATTCAAGGCACAGAATATTGAGGGAGACCAGGTAGGAAGAATTACTCTGCCCATTCCCCCTCCTTAGGAGGTGGAGTCTGAGTACACATGCGTGTGAACTGATGGTTAGGATGTGGTGGCTTGACACTGCCATCTGTGTGCACATGCCAGCATGTGGGCTTTAGGATGGGTGAGGCTAGGTCCTCTGAATACAGCTTGTGAGTCTCAGAGGCAGATTTCAGCAGGCATCTTTGTTCATGCTTGGGTCGGGTCTTAGTTATGTGCATGCATATGTATGCATTATACACGTGTGAGTGTCTCCAAGCCTGACACAGACCAGTTCGTGCATCCATTCAAATGACTGCAGGAAGTCTGTACCCCAAGTTGGCTCCTCACCACTAGAAGTCTTAAGCCCGGCTACTATGGCCAGAGCTTTGCCACCAGGCTGTGCAGAGGTGGGGGCATGCAGAGACAGAAAGGATTGGTGGTAAGGGGCAGGCAATAAGGAGGCGACAGAGGCACCTGGTGAGAGACAGACAAGCAAGGCATTATAAGGTCAGAGAATGACAGAAGAGGTGCAGATGTAAGGACTCTGTCATCTGACAAGGGGATGGGCTGGGGGCTGGAGGCTGCCAGAGCCTCAGCCTTGCTGCCTGCCCAGTGCCTGGCATCTCAAGGGTTAAAGCAGTAAGCGAAGCAGGCTCAGGCAATCTTCTCCTCCTGCCATCCCCCACCCCTCTCAGCTTCTCTTTTCTTTTTGTCCTCCTCTTAGAACAAAATAATTTGTGGAGAAGTTGTTCCTTCCTCTAGAGCTGTGGCAATTAGGGGGCGAGCGGCAGGGCCTGTTTGTATAGCCAGAGAGGACCGAGGCTCTGAGCAGACACCAGCAGGTTGTGTCATAGGACCCATGCTCAGCTCTGGACCAAGGTCCTCTGATGGTCCTCTGTGATGGAGGCAAAGAAAAGGAAGAATCACAACCCAAGGGCTGCAGAGAAATGCAGGGAGCCGGTATCCTACATTAGGGGAATTGAGAATCAGACAGGAGAGGACAATTCTGGACATAGGGCGGAGTGGCAAAGCCAGGCTCCATCTTCTCTGACCCATCCTTCTCAGGTTTGGAGGTTTAAAACATCCCACCACCTCAGCTTTGGACCATAGTCTGGTTGTGTAGCAGCCATGATCTGGGCCACACAGTTGAAGCAGCACCCAGCCTATTTGTGCCAGCAGGGGGCGCAGCTGCCTGGCTTCATCAGGGCCAAGGGATGAAGTTCTATTAGAATCTACATTAGATTCGCTTGTCAAGGTCATTCCCAGGCTCTGAGGCTGGGCCTTGCTGGTTTTCCTGAAATGTCTGGGAACCCCTTTCCCAGGCTTATGATATACTTTGAAGCCTATGTGGCTACTAAGTGGGGTCAGCAGAGGGAAGCAGTCTGGTGTCCCGGCTAACAGGTGACACAAAGCTTGGAGGCTGAGGGTCTTCAAGAAGTCTCTGGATTTCCAGGGTTCGATATATCTGCGAGAATGGGAGTCCTTCCAATTCTCAATTGAACAACGCCACAATGAACAACAGCCAATGAACTACATCACAGTTCATGTTCTCGGAGCCCTGTACTGTGGCCACCACGGCTACTGTCTGAGATCTGAGATCGCCATGCCGGAGGAAGTAATCTCAGTCCCCTCCCCGCCCCCACTCTTCTGCTAGGTATGCCCGCTGAGACTGCCATCAGCTTTCATTCCAAGGGTCTCCTGAGTTTTGCCCCTGAGTCCCTCCCTCAGACACCCTGTCTTTTTCCCTAACACTTCAGTCTCAGCCCTGGAGGTGATAACAGAGGAGTCCAGACACCAGGGAGCCACTGATAGGGCACAGCGACAGCTAGCTCTTTTGCTGTCCCCCCAAGCACCGTGTCTGTGTGAAGAGGACACTGAACAAAGGCATGTGCCCAACTCTGTGTTCAAGGGCAGAGTGTTGGGACCTGGGTCATCCCTTCACCTCTGCTGCAGCTGTGTGAGCTCCTGAGCCCCACATGCCTCTGCCAGGCCTTTGTCCTGCTCTCCTTCTATCGAAGGGCCTGTGGCGATGTCCTTCTGCTGGCTCCCCGGTGCCTGCATTTGAGGCCTCTTTGGACTACTGCTAGCAGACCTTGCCCATGCTGTCCCTGCCACCCTGTCTTCCCATGTGCTCTAAATCCTGCCGAGAAAGAGGAAAGGGATTGTAAGGGGTTCTGGTGTTATAAAGACAAAATCCTAGTGGCTGCTCAAGCTGCCAGTCCAGCCAGTCCCCAGCCCCAAATGAGCCCCTGATATGCAGCAGTTCCTGAAAGGCAGACCTCTGGAGTCTCATCCTTTCAACATTCCTTTGGATCTGTTCCAGCTGTTCTGTTCCCTGGAAGGGCCCTGAGCTCAGCCCTGAGCCCAAGGGAGATCTGAATGGTACAGTTCAGAGGTGCCCCTCCCCAGGGGGTAAGTCATCCCCATATTGATGTGGGCCAGGAAGCTGCTTTCCAGCATGGACCCAGGAGGGATCCCAGGGAAAGCATAGTGCTTGCACCCTGCCAAAGGCTAGCTCCTTGCCAGCTGTAACCCCGAGCCTCGGGACCAGCCGGGGCATGGCAGGAAGGCCAGGACACAGGGAACACAGCCTCAACCAGCAGGACTACACATCTTCTGGTTTCCTTGGCCCAGAGAGTTATTTTGAAAAACCAAAGAGTCCCCAGAGCAATGCCACCTCAGCGGTCCTCACCTTTAACCAGAGAGCTGGATTGAGGTGAACAAAAGAGCCAGTGCACACACAGGTGCTGCAACGCTAAGCCATCTATGGTAGCGGGGCAAGAGGCAGGGGCTTCATCCCACAGGGAGTGGAAGGAAGGTACTGGGATGGGGAGGCAGACAGAGCCATGACTGAGGGAAAGGGACAGTGGCAGAGGGCCAGAGGAATATGGACTGCAGGGGTGGCTAAGGAGGAGGGACAATTTAGGAGGCTATATGGAGTCCCTCATGCTACAGATCATGGACCTCTATCGTGTATTTCTAGTCACCATTTTTAAAAATGTGTCTGTATGATGTGCAAGTAGGTACAGGTGGAGGTCAGAGGTCAACACCAGGTAACATCTTCAGTTTTTCTCCACCTTATTGGGGGAGGGGCTCACTGAGTCTGGAACTCACTGATCTGGCTAGACTGGATACCCGTGAGCCCCAGGGACCCTCCTGTCTCTACAGTGTCCCCAGTGTTTACAAAGGTGCCAGAGTTTAACCTCGGATCCTCATGCTCATGTGGCAGGCTTTTTACCAACTGCACTTCCCAGGCCCTGTCTAGGGTGGTGACTTAGCAGGGGTGCCTTTTCCTCTTTGGGGTACTCATACTAGCTCTGTGGTCCTTTTGGAGGCCTCAGACCCAGCCTCCTGCTTCCTGGGGGCAGCCTAACATAAATGAGAAGTGAGCATGAAGGATGCCTGCAGAACAGCAACCTTGGATGGGAAACGTGAACACTTGTAGAAGGAGCCTGGAAGCCTCACTCGCAAATGGCAGCCTCATACGCAAATTCAAAAAGCTACGATAGGAGAAAAGAGATCCCAGGACAAGTAGCATGGACAGACCCCATCAGAGACATTTTACAAAGTCCCAGAAAGCCAGCAACAGTAGGGCCCAGACTTGAGCCAGGGTGAGAAGTTGAGAAGGGAGAGGGAGGAGGGAAGGTGGGAGGGACATTGGCTTACCTCGGGGCAGGTGCTTTCATTCTGGAACTCACTGATCCATGCTGGCCCAGGAAGACCGTGTATCCCTGTGATCCCCTTCTAACAGGCAAAGACGCTGTGGGCTAGAGAGGTGAAGTCCCACAGCAGAGCTGGAGTCTGCACAGGGCCTGTCTGATTCAAAGCCCTTGCCTTAGGGTACTTTGTAGCTCTGTCCTGTGTATCTCTCTCTAAACTTGAAGGTAAGGCTTTCGAGAAAGGGGGCATAAGGCTTTAAAAGGATGAGCTGGGAGTTTGGCCAACCAGAAAGGAGCATGGGGCAGACAATGATGCTGAGGAGCTTGGGGCCAGTGGGAAGTCAGCCGCTCCAGAAGGGAGGGAGCGGAGGCCTGGCAGGACCAGCTAGATCCCCTAACCTACCACATAACCCTGGGAGTGAAAACAGGCACACCCATGAGGCTTCTCTCTGCAGTGAAGGTGAACGGGCCCTAATCTCTGGAAAATTAAATCAGAAAGAAAATGGAACAAGAAAGATTTGATGCAGGCTTACCTCGCTTCTGTTTGTCTCCTCAAAGGCCCAGGCTCAGCGTGGGGCCCAGCTAGGTGCTCCAGCATCCCAGCCCCCATTCTGAGCCTGGTATCTCCCCTAAACCCTCTTCTGCCACACCTCTTGGTGTCTGCTCTTTTGTCTGACAAAGAACAGCCGAGGTGGGTGTCTTAACTGCCCCATC